CAAACCAATTCTTATTAGCACACTCTTAGATACTTTTGTACTCTTAACAAAAAACAGCCTAAAAGTTTTAGTGTAACCGCCGTGAATTCTCAAGGCAATATTAGTATTTTAGGCTACAAGAATCCTTTCCCTAAATCCAAGGTATGGCTCATCACTCATTGCATTTCTTATTGAAGAGCAAAACAAGACCCAGACATGTTACCGTCAATGGCCTGCCTTGTTGTTTGGGGAAATTAGCTAGGCAGCAAGCAAGGCCAGAGGGGTAAAAGGGACCTGTACACCTGTCTATACCAAGGTCCAATACAGTAGGAAGACTCCAAATTTGAAGACTGAATTAAATAGTTTTTATTAAAGTATTTCCCTAATTACAAGCACACTAAACATTGAAAAAGACCAAGCAATACAGAACTAAGAAAGCAGAGGTGATTGATAGCAAATAGAGGGGTCAGTTACAGGGTGATACAAGCTGTCCAGATGTGCAGGGAGATGAGATTATGGTGTTATGCCAACTTCTCCAGGAAATTCCTGGAGACCCAATCCCAAGTTATCTACCAAGGGCAAAAGGGGGCAATGCCTGAGTTCTAAACCAATCTATACAGAACAATGCAGACCAATGGGAGGTCTTGAGGGGCTTGCCCCAGGTGAAGACAAAAGATTACCTGGGCCAATCTGTGTCCCAGAGTGTGTGGCATCAGGACAAGCCACACCTAGATGCAACCAATGAAGTTCCAGAGGGGCAGAGTCTGGTTTAACAATAGCCTCGATGGGATTGAGCCAGGTGCTGGATGGTTGGCTGTGAGTGTCCACTGTGGAACAAAAGAGTGGCCTGGTGTTTCCCTGGACCCAGACAAAAGGTGGGAGATGGGCTCCTGATCAGCATTAGGAATGATCACTAATAATTTGAATGTTTGATTAGTTATCTCAGTATCCTGAGGGACAGGGCAGGAAGGACAGGTGTTGAGACAAAGGATTTATAGGAATCACAAAAAGGGCTAGGTGAAGTTCTGGAGAAAGCAGGGCTATTCACCAGGTGGCCTCTGAATAGCTTTAGAAATGCAGATACTACACCTGGAGGAACCTTCCTTCATTGTCGCTGCTGGAGGAGGGGAGGTTGAAGATTGCCTTGAAGGACTGCCTTGTATGAAAACCTGAAAATGGAAACCCTCCTCCCAGAGCTGTGGCTAGCTCTGTGTTTCAGGCCAGGAGTGCCTTCCTTTGCCCCAACTTTGTGGGTCTCTGGTTCAGGTCAGGAGTGGGGTGCCCCTGGTGTTAAGGCTACCCACGCGTAAGGCAGCACCTCTGAGCTACAGACAAATCAGTAACCAATCCACATAGTGGGCGTGAATCACAGTTTTTGATAAGCTTGCAAAGTAAATGAATCTATATAGTACACATAAACCTGTAAGGAGGAATGATTACTTTTTGTAATAAGCTAACTATCCCTATTATAGTAGTACACATAAACATGCAAGGAGGAAAGATTGTAATAAGCTAACTATCCCTATTTAGTTCAATAGATCAAATCCGCACACAAATTCCAACTCACAGCTTCTTGTTGGTCTCACTGTGAAAACAGATTTTCTTTTGTTTATTGGGACATCCTTAATATATTTATGACAATATTTGTACCCCACTTTTCCTTATGGCTCAACAGCTTACAATTCCATTTTTTTAAAAAAAATACAAAATGCATCTTCCACAAGAAAATGTCTACAGCGTGAGCATGTACGGGCTCAATAGAAGAGCAATGTGTATGTGTAAAGTGCCCCTCAAGTCACAGCAGACTTATGGCGGCCCCAGCGAGGGGCTTTCAAGGCAAGTGAGAAGCAGAGGTGGTTTGCCATTGGCTTCCTCTGTAGAGGCTTCCTTAGTGGTCTCCCTTCCAAGTACTGACCCTGCTTAGCTTCTGAGATCTGACATAGATTGAGCTATCCCATGCCACTTTCCCTCTCAGAAGAGCAATAAAAAAGAAAAATGTCTACAGCCTGAACTGCTCCTTAGAAAGTTCTAAAGATGGCATCCCCATACCTCCTTAGACCTCCTATTCTACAAGGCAGGAAGCCGTTACAAAAAAGGAATGGGTCCTAGTAGATGCCAAATGGGCAACCCTAAGTGGGGGAACAACTAGAAGGCAGCAGTGAGGAGTGGTATTTGGCTCATGGGGACATGTGGTAAGGAGGAAGAACTCTCCTTGTTTGCTTATATATGTTTGCTGAGATGTTTTATGCACAGCCGATCACTCTTCCACTCTTGGCAGGTCAGAAGGACTAATTTCATAATATGGATTTCCAGCCAGACATTGTTCTTCTATTCTTCATCTGAACATTAACTGGACTGCACAGTCCAGCTTGTATTGTTCTGCCCCAGAGATTTACATCTATGGTGACTGTGAACATGATAGATATCAAAAAGACTTTCCACATCAGTATTAAATTTTCTAGCCCCCAATCTGGCTTCTTATTTATCTTAAAACGGAATGCTTGGAACAAAGGTGAATGCAGCACGTAATGACAAGACCCCAACCCTTTGACGTTATTACAATTTTGACATGCAAACCACACACAAGGGGAGATCACGCTACATGCAATCCTCCTGGTACCCATGGCCAACATTTTCTGTGACTAGGTAAATGTCTTATTTTCTAGTTGCATTAAGCATGAATGTGTACTCACACCAAATCTGGGTTCCTGATCACATATACCACAGCTAGAAAATACATGTGTTTTTTCTACTCACACAAAATGGCAACTGCACATCTGAGAAAGTTTGCAGCTAGCATGATCTCCACTTATGCATTGTGCAAAACTGTAACAATTGGAAAGAAGTAGGCCACAAATATGTCGTTTGGGTTAAAGAGCTGCTAATTCTGCAGTCTTGTTTTTTTCTCTTCTTGGCCTGGAACATAATAATTTGATGGGTAGTACTTCAGGATAATCAGGATATGAGTAAATTAGGTTTAATTTTTCTCCACACAAATCCAAGGACTTTGAGACAGACTAGGGTAGTTTGAGTAATTGAGAGGCACTGAGATTAAGATGTCATCTGAATAAAGAAGCACTACCTCTGGACTCAAGTATACTAATGAAACTACCGGGACATTGGTGAATACCCAGGGAGCTGCTGTGAGACCAAGTGTTGCTCTGTACTGGAAATGACTTGTGACTGTATGTAAATCCTTCTTGTGAGATGACTGCATCGGAACATGTATGACAACTTCCAAAAGGTCAATGAACCCAAGAAAATCCTGTTGCTCAATGACCGATATGATAAACTATTTGGGGGATCTACTCAAATATTATTACACCAAACTATGCAAACACTCCAAAAAGAGATTAGCATTGGTATATGTGGAATGCTGGACTGTGATTGTAATGTTGAATTCTTCTCATACGATGTGAAGAGGATTTAATGAGAGATTCAGATTTCTTTAAGCAGGAACCATGTGTTGATCTTTGAATAAAGTATCAAATAGAATACTCATCTGTACTCTTATCAGTCAGATATGTCATCTCGAATTCGAAGCAGGGTACTCGAAGGACCCGTCTATGCCCTTAGGTTTTTTTAGTAAGTCACAAGGAAAGCAAGGAAGGTGACAGTGCAAAATAGGACTTTTTCAATGAGCTCAACTAGGTTGTGGGATGATCTACTGCAAGACATTTGCCTGGTCCCTTCACTCCTCATCTTTCTACATAAAATAAAGATGTTTTTATTTCAGAGCGCATAAGTGGGTTGTAGTATCCTACTGTGCTGATTGATGGATGTATTTCAGTCCCTGCCGATATAGTGCCAGCATTCAAGTATCTGAGTAGTGCTGTCATCAAAATACAAAGAGCTTAGAACGTGAATTTACCCAGCTCAGCCATAATATAAAGTGTCATTCTTCACAGAGTTCCAAACCATCTAAGCCAGAGAACAACTCTCTCCTTCTTTTCCTTCCACTTGGAGCATTAATACCCCAGGTCCCACGGTGGGAAATGTAATTTTCCCAGAACATCTAAACCCATAGAATTCAGGTGGCCAGCGAAACCTACCCTAAGATGTTAACATTTAGGGGGAAAGGATTAGAGGGCTGATGAAGAGAATGTGGAAATTCAGTTGCCCCCACCTGATAATGTTCATTGGCACACTGATGGAGTTTCCAACATTTGTGAATGGGTTCTACATTCTGTGTTATTGTTCCTGGAGAACAGCTTTGCTTGTCAAGGCTAATTCTGAATCAGACTAGGGAGGGGAACTTGTAATAATATGCCTCTCCTGACTATTTTGAAAAATCATGTTTACAATTGTGTTACATTACCGAGTATATCTGGCAGTTAGTTTTCAGAAACATTCTCAGTGCTTTTATGTTCTCTCATTTTTATGTTTTACTGTTGGGTTTATGATTGTACTCCACTTCATGCATTTTTATGGGAAAACATTACAAAAATGTTTAAGTTTAGAGCATTTATTAATAATACCCTTTCCAGATGGAGGAAGCAACCTGCTACAATGTACTGTGACTTAACATGTTCCACAGCAAAGACGTTCTCCTTCTAGACCTAGAAAATCTTTGCTCAAATTAAGCCATCCCTGAGTCTCCGGTTAAAACATTCCCTTCTGACCTGTTTAGTCAGGAATTTTTTTTTTTTTTAAAAAAAAGAACTTCTCTCCTTACATCATGTAATTTACTGCCACAAATTCAGGCAATTGACTAAGATTCTTTTAAAAGGAGATGAAACAATTCATAGAGGGCATTTTGATCAATAGCCTTGAAAGGTAAAATGGAACCACTAAGTTCAGAGGCATGCAGTTACTTGAGGAGAAAGTATGGGATGGCTATTGTCTTCAAGCACTATTTTGGCCTTCCTGTAGTGCATCAAGCTGGCAACTATTGCAAACAGGTAGCTGGACTGGATCTGATACAGCAGAATTAAACATAGAACAGAAGAGATCAGTAAAAGAAATAAGTATGGCTTGTCAAAAGTGATATATTGTCTTGGATATAAATTTAACAGGCTGCATTTTATTTAGCTTTAGAGAACAAAGCCGGTGGGGGGGGGGGAGAGAGTTGATTACAATTTGGCTTCAACATGAATTGCAATAAATGGATTTTCAGCTTGGCTACTTATGTGAAAATTTGCTATGCCATTTGCAGCAACATGGATTTGAATCCCAGTACAGTGGTTTCCTTCCTTCTGACCCGTAATGACATCGCAGTAAATGCCAGCAGGGAGGCCGGTTAGTAGCATTTCTGACAAATTCCTGGGGGAAAAACAAAGTATCTGATTATTGCTGAAATTTCACTTCCTAGGTTTTCACACAGCCTTCTTTAATTCCAGTGGGGCAGACCAGAAGAAAGACTCCTTCCTGAGGTTTGCCAGCCAGAGCCCCACCCACCGGCTAGGCCAGTGCAGTGCCTGATTGGCTAGCTGGGGAGCTGAGGTACAGACAGGTATTTTGAACTGCTGTATACTAGCTTATTCATTCCTACAAAAAAAGAATACCTGTCATCATTATTAAATACAATAAATCCTTTGCCATCTCGTCCAAATGCCACTTGATTGTTGTTATTGTCCCACCACTGTATGAGAGGTCGGTTGTGAACAACATTTCGGAATATCACCATGTTCCTGCAGACAAAACAAGAGGGACACCATGAGTTAAAATATATCCATATTTTGGTGAAAATGGCATTTGTGAACTTAATCCTAAATGTGTGGAGGAACAGAGTTGCTGTCAACAGAGCTCCACTGGTGTCAGATATACAAGAATGTTTTCTACTACTTACCTTATTTGATGCAACCGATGTTCGCAAACCCAGCCATTGCCACAAGTACCATCTGGGTTAATTGGAACGTGTTTAATTGATCCATCACTGTAACTTGGTGGTCCAACCCAACTGTTAATATCCTTGTTATGAATGATACAAATACAGAGATTAATGCATTTCATACTGTCTACAGTATGCTGACTATAATGTTTATCTGTAGCCTTTCAAATTCTTCAGTCCCTTAACACAGACTGTAGTTTTTAGAATGCTATTAGCACTATTTAAAATTATTAAAAAGCTTCTTTGGCAAAGTAGTAATGTCTGTTCCATTTATGCTCTCTCAAGGCACATGTCAAGGATGTCCTTTACAGTCCTGGGACAAAAGAGGGAACAAGAGCCCAAAAGGTAATAATTAAGCCAAACACATAACTGGAGAAAAAACAGGTCACAGATTTTATTGGAAACAATCACAGGAGCATTGTCACAGCATGCCACATAGATAACAGAACTGGGTAACCTGCCTGTTGACTGATGGCACTAAAGATCCGCCCAGCCTGCCTGATGGGGAAGCCTTCATGGGAAGGCAAATCCTAAGATCCCACATGGGCATAAGCCACAGCATGGTTCCCTTGCCATCTGAGGGTGAGAGCCAGGCAACAGCACACAAGCTGGACATGTCACTGAATGGCCACACCTCAGCCTACCCTCCCCCCCAAATTGGATTCGGCCTGATGTCCAAACTGCCCATGAAAAGCTGTGATGAGAGCATGCACAGAATCAAGAAGCTGACAGAGCATGTATCTGCAAAGTGCCCTGACAAAGGGAAGGTGGGTGGGGATTCTGGAGCCAACTAGTGCCAAGGCCCCAGCAGCAGCCCCTTAAGAACAAGAGGTCAGACCAGAGTGAAGAATGCTCCCCTCCTCCTGCCCCCACAGCAGTCCAGGACCCCTGGTTGACAGCCCATGCCGCTGCCCAGGCCAATCACCACAGCTCCTCCCCTTTTGCTCACTATCAGCCTTACAGCCACAAAGGCAGCCCTGGCTGAGTCCAGGGTAGTTGCTTGTTGGCATTACTTTTTGCTATCAGTACTGAAACCTTAGGAGCTGCGGTGGCTCAAGTGGTTAAGACGCTGAACTGCAGGCTGTGGAAGGTCGGTAGTTCAGCAGTTCGAGACCCGAGTGTGCCGCATGACGGAGTGAGCTCCCGTCTCTACTTCCAGCTCCTGCCAACCTAGCAGTTCGAAAGCAAGAAATTGCAAGTAGATAAATAGGTACCACTTCAGTGGGAAGGTAACAGCGCTCCGTGCGCCTTGGTGTTTAGTCATGCCGGCCACATGACCACGGAAAGGTCTTCGGACAGCGCTGGCTCTTCGGCTTTGAAACGGAGAGGAGCACCGCAACCCTAGAGTCGGATTCGACTGGCTTTCGAGCAAGGGAACCTTTACCTTTACTTTACTGAAACCTTGGCAGGGATGGTGAGGCTTAATCCAGGTATTAAAGGCATACAACTGAATGATAATGAACTGAAAATCTGTCTGCATGCATATGACATTTTTCTAATATTTAAGGATCCTATGAATTCATTCACATCCGTTTTGCAATGGTTTGAGAAATATGGTACTTCATCTGGGTTACAAATAAAGTAAACAAAAAAGCAGAACTGATGGAGTTAAATCTATATTCAGGTTAAAAGAAGACATCTACAGATTTTATAGTTTTGATTGGGCCATAACATGAATGTGTTACATTTAGGTATTTAGCTATCACCTAATCTGAAAGATGTATACACAAGATAATTATGTGAGATGATGGGTTCAGATTTTTTTTTAAAAAAACTGCAAGTTAATCTTTAGTACAAACGTCTTTGTTTGGAAGGACAGTAACCTCAGAAGTTCCTAAACTTCTGTTACTGGGTCTCATAACAGATCATGTAACACACCAATTCACAGAGAAATAATTGCATAGAATAATGATGGGTGTTAAATATACATAGATCCTCATCACTGTTTTAAGCAAAGTTTGCAGGGGCTTACTTAAAAAACTAAATTAGAAAATTCTTGCAGTTTTTGCTTGTTTGTTGCAATGTAAATATTGGACAGCATGGAAACTCAAACAAAGCAAGGGTGGAGCGGGACCCCTGCCAAAAAGTAGAGGGTGGAGATTGAAGTGTTTCAAGATAACAACTTTAGACACGAAATGTCTAAATGTACACAAGCAGAACTCCCCCAAAAAGATCTGAGGGGATAAAAAAAAATCTCTTTTGGTTAGTCTAGATAACCATCTGAAATTGGAAGTTATTTTACATGTAAGACTAAGTTTTCTTCCCTACAGTTAAAAGACATACTTTCATCTCATTAATTCTGGCTAATACTTACAAATTACATTAGTAATACTACACAGTCTTATTACTACTTATGATAACTACTCTCTTAACATAAATGAAATTTTTAATCAGTTCATAGCCAGTTAAACTTGCTGTGTATCGTCATGTTTTCAAGTTCGACTTTCTTCCTATTTATTTATTTATTTATTTAGTTAGTTAGTTATTTGACTTCTATCCCACCATTCCACATGGGCTCAGGGCGGCTAACAAGAGGCAATTGCCATACATAACACTAAGGTCAGATAAAACAATCAATTCCATTTACATTTTACATTTAAAATCGGTGCTCACAACAATATATCATCCAAGACGGGGACCTATGCAATGTTTCAGAAGTTCTACTGTCTCTTCTTGATCGGTCTGCACTATGTCCATTCTTCATTCCCAAGGCCAGTTCGCATTGCCAGAGATGGCAACGCGATGGTGGTACAGTGATGGCGGCGACTCCTACTCAAAAGCCTGGCGGAAGAGCTCCGTCTTTCAGGCCCTGCGGAACTGCATAAGGTCCCGTAGGGCCCTGATCTCCTCCGGGAGCTCGTTCCACCAGATAGGAGCCGCCACCAAAAAAGCCCTGGCCCTAGTCACAGCATATTTGATATCTCTAGGGGCTGGGACAGCCAGAAGATGTTTTGCCCCCGACCGTAGTGCCCTTGGGGGAACATATGGGGAAAGGTGGTCCCTTAGGTAAGCTGGACCCTGGCCATACACCACTGTATAGCTTTTTAATTGGCAGTCTCTCACCCCATTGAGACTATTTTTGCACAAGTACAAACCTCTGCATCGGTGTTCTTAAATAATCAAAGTCTGTAAAACTTTCCACACAACTTTCTGCCTCCCCAGGAGGAGATCTGAATTTAGTGCCCCGTTACCCCACATTTTCCGAATCCACTTTTACCACAATTTTTTTTTCCTTTCGGATCTGAACATGCAGCTTTCCAGTGAGGAATTCCTTATTTGAATTTTGTTTCCCATCGCCCTTTTGTGTGGTCAGGGTCGCGTCCTCCCACCCCCCTCAGGTTGTCCCCTCAGCGATCTGCTAATTTTTTTAAAGCATAATGTTGATTCCCTTACAATTTTTTTCCCTTATAGCAATGCTATAACGTTAGGACAAAATGGACAATTCAGCCCTAAAAATAATGGAATTATGTAATTGATTTGATAATCATGGAAACATGTGCAGTGTTTCATAGAATGTTAGAGTTGGAAGGGACCTTGCAGGTCATCTAGTCCAACCCCCTGCACTCTGCAGGAGCATAGCTGAAAGATAGCCCTACAACATACCCAAAAGATGGTCATCCAGCCTCCCTTTAGTGTGCTTCATAATTTCTGTGTATTGGGTTCAGTACATTTTATAATATTTCAGTCTGTTTTCAAAGTGCAGTTACTAGCCCTAACAATTACGCAGTGATATATAAAAGAAAGTGATATAGAAAAGAAAGCCAGACACTTGTTGTGAGTGAGCAGAAGGTTACCGTTCCATTCTGGATAAGCCTTGGCCACCTGTAGCTTGACATTATTCGTGTAGATCCATAGGGATGAGCAAGCATAAAGCTAACAGCCATTTTGTAGAGTCTGCAGAACAGGTGAGAGAGATACCTTTTACCAAATATGGATTAGAAACAGAGAAAACAAGTGGGAAACTGAAAGGACTTGCAGGGAGCATCTCATCCCCCCCAAAAAACACTATTTCCTCTTCCCCTTTTCTGAAAGCAAACACAGCCTACCCTTCTCCTGCTTCTTTCTCTGCTTCCCACCCAACAGTGAACCTACACTTATCTGCCCCTCTACCTTCAGCTTCCCCCCCCCCAGCAGCCTCTACTTAAGAAGAAAAGTATGGCCCAGTTATATGGTGCTGGCCACTGGGCTAGGTTCACTGGCATGGTAGGGAACCCTCAAGGACTTGGGGGGGGGACCTCACTTTCCTCTATATCCTCCTCTCTACACTGTTTCCTCTTTCTTTCCTCCTGGCAACCCCCATATCATCTCACAATTCCCTGCCTCATTATCTCTTGCTCAGCCATTCCTCAACCTATCTTTTATTATTTCACATACCCCACCTTTCTCCACAGAGGAGACCTAAGCAGATTAGGGAAGGGAAAGGAGTTTGTAAGCCGCTCTGAGACTCCAAGTGAAGGGTGGGGTATAAATCCAATTGCTTCTCTTCTCTTAATTCCCCTTTCCCTCATTTTTATAACCCTGTGTGGTAGGTTAGGCTGAATGTATGTGATTGGTCCAAAATAACCTAGTGAGCTTTCATGGCAGAGGACTGTACTCCTGGAGAAAATGGCTACTTTGGAAGGTGAACTCCATGGCATTATATATCCAGCTGAGGCCTGTCCCTTCCCCAAACCCTCCTCTAACTCCATCACAAAGTCTCCAGGAACTTCCAAACCTGGCAACCCAAGTCCAGGGCTACCAGCAATAAGCTCTCCCTCAAAGGCCAAAATAACCCTGGAAAAGGGCCCTTCCTGTTCCCCCTGCCTTTTACTAAGGAGAACCAAGTCTGGGGCATTTTTCAACTTTGTAGAATGATCTGTCTTATCTGTTCACAGCTCCAATCACCAAATTAAAGTATTCTCAGATCTGGCCTACTTCACTTTTAGAATATAAAAGTGGGGACCTGTGATAGTTGTGGAGGGGGGAGTTGTGGGTGGGAATCCCATATCCCCCCCATCCCTGAGGATAGTGAGGCTCCAGGCCCCACCACCTACCGCTCAGCCCACAGTGGCTGCCAACATCCTTTGCCACTGTGCCTGGGACCACAGCAGTGGCCAGTATCCTCCTCTGCTTCTGCTTGGGTCTGTAGCAGCTGCTGGTGACTGCTGCTGCTGCACCCAGGCCCAGAGCAGTGGCCAGCACCTTTTTCTGGTGCTTCTGGGCTTGGCACAGCTGCCGACATCTTCTGCAGCCATGGCCAGGACACAGTGGCTGCCAGTGTCTTCTACCTCCACCACCACAACTGGGCCTGGCATGGCTGCAGGTGTCACCCGTCACTGTTGCAGCTGGTGCAGTCTAATTGTCACAGCATCTCCTGTCCTCCCCTTCTGCCTTCCATTTCACTACAGATACCCTTTTTCTTTTCCCAGCCCCGTGACCAATGAGGTTATCTACTACTTTCCCCAAGGGAACTAATGTTTCCTGTGGTTGCTACCACTGGATCTAAAATGGATGCTGTCATCTCATATGATCTCATGGCTTAACTTCTTTTCAGATCCAGGCATGGGTGCAGGAATGAGGACCGTCACATGAAAGATTCACATTTTTTTTTTCTGAATTACTCTTGTTAAGAATGCAACATATTGATCTAGGAAAGTTCTTCATGACACACCTGGAAATTTGGACCTACATAGTTCCTTACCTGGGGTTCCAGAAGGTGAGAATGGAAGCTCCACCAGCCCCATGTCCTCTCTGGTTGTCATGGTTGTCAACAAACACAATGGCTTTGTCAGAAGGCATCAAATTCCAGTTTTCTCCCCAGCTCCTAAATATGAAGAAATTATTAAAATATTATTTAAAATCTGTTTCAGCATATATACCACTTCAGACAAATTCAATTGGATATAGATGGCTAACTCCAGAAGACGTCACCTTCAAAATCAAGGATAATAAAGAAAAGATTGACTCTGTTCTGAAAGCTCGGGAATTTTTAAGAGTCCAGTTGGGAGGGCCAGAGGAGGAAGAAAAGGAAGGGGAGGACAGTAAGTCCAGTGGCGAGCTGGACTCGGATTCTTCGGGAAAGGACTCTCTTTCAGAGAAAGGGGCAGCAGCTCCTAAAAGTCCCTATAAGTTGCGGAAGAGATGGGGCAAGGAGAAGTGAAGGCTGAAGGACTCTGATTTGTGCCTTGGAAAAACTTTGAAATGAGATGACTTGGGGTATTCCTTAATGACAGTAAATTTTAAGAACTGAAAAGTTATTGTTAAACTTGACTCAGTTTGTAAAGGGAATAGCGGGATTAAGACTTGATGTTTGTTTAAGCTGATCAGAAGATCTCCTCTCTTGGGTTTTTAGTTAGTAGTGGGTATCTTTCTTTTATCCCATAAATGTAGTCCCCCTTTCCATTTTCCGTTGTAGTTTGTAGTATTATTTTAAAAATGCAATAAAAAACCCCTCCGGGGGCATAAAAAATTATTAAAATATTATTTAAAATCTATTTCAGCATATATACCACTTTAGCAACCAAATTCACAGGTGATGGGAAAACATCCACTCCTGTGCATGGGCTGAGAAGCTGCAGGATATAGAGTTCTACATCCAAATCCCATGTCTGCTGCAGGCCACAGGAGAATTCTCATTCCAAGGTGGGGAGTGGGGGGCAGGGGCAGGGAGAAGAGATCTTAGTTGTATTTGCTTGCACAGAGGCATCTAAACTCTGGCCTCCACATGTGGGCTCTTCTGGTCAGTTTGTGCCCAAAGTCCATTACTTTAAGTTTGCCATTGTTTCTCCGTTCCATTTACGAAGGACAGTCCCAAGTTGTGCGCCGTATCGAAATTCAGTCACTCGACCATTTCTGAAGTATTCATAGTTTCGGACTGCTTCACCGCCCATGTCAATTACCTGGAGAAAGATGACCAGGAGATGAGGGGGTGAGAAGGAAAATAGATAAAGGAAAATGATCTTGATTGCAATTTGCTGCAACACTGGTGTTACTGATATGGTTACAATTATTTGAAACAAGCCAGTGTACTGAATTAGAACATCAGAACATCAATATCTTACTGTACTTGGTTCATCACAATTTATTCCTAGAAGTTTTAGCCCATCTCCAATGTGACTAGATAAATGTCAGCCTATTATGGCCAACATTTCCAGAACCATTCACCCATCAATCTTCTCTGTGTGACTTCTGTCTATCATGATCCCTAGCACAGCCTTTTCAGGTTTTGAAGGGGCCTCTACTACCTCTTTCCACAGCAAAAAAATCTGAAAGGATCCATCTGAGTATGTTTTAGCTAAGCATTTGAAAACTGATTTCAGGTTATTCTGTTACTGAGTTAGTATGACTTGAACTGAGCTTCTGCACTTTCTGGTTTAATACTGCATTAAAATTTTTATCAGCCCTGGAATGGGTACCTAGTTTCCTCTACTGAAGTGGTTTCTATTGAAATAGTGCACACAATTAAAAAAGGTGTCTTACTTCCTGGCTGCCATGATGACAATTTATCATTAAAAGATAAAGGAAAGAGGCCATGATGTAACCACTGGGGAAGAATAAAATACAAGAATTTTGTCCAGGTCCAAAAACTAATAAACAAACAATAAATAATAACAGGGGAGTTACCTCCTGATAGATGAAAGGTCGTGAATCTTGGGGGAACCACTGTATATTTAGATTATTTAGTTTGCCTATAATAGCATTTATGTCCTGAGGCCATATATGCTTGGATGCATCAATTCGAAACCCTGCAACACCAATACCTAGCAGGTGGTTCATATAGTCAACTATTTTGGAACACACATCATCTCTCCTTTGTGTGAGGTCAACAAGGCCAAGCAGGCGACAGTTACGAACCTAGACACACAGAGAATGAGTTGTCATTAATTCAGTGGTCAAAACCCAAAGATACAATCTTCATGGCACTTGTGACAGCTTGCCTCCCTCCAAAATTCCTTGCATTCTCCCAGTGAAGTGTATACAAGTGCTCCATTTAAAATGTCTTCACTTTGAATCTTGAATCAAAATAGAGCTATTCTTAAAGATATTATCTTTGAATATAATTACTGAATAAACGCAGCAGAGTTCAACTTAAGGCTGGTTCATGCAATGACATGCTGGGGCAACTTGCATGAGTGAATCAGCCATGTGAGATGAAACATGGTATTTTGTCACCTGAAATGTAATCCTTTTCAACAGTAAGAACACATTCAGATGAAAATCACGAAAAACTAAAATGCTGTACGTGCATGTGTGAAATGGACTTCAGTGTGCAAAATAGTCTGCACTATTAATCCAAATCGCTTTTCGCCACACTGTTGATACTACATCACCCTTGCAAGTAAGCTGCATGCTTCTTACTAACCTCAAATAAGAAAATGACATCTGTTCGTGCCCAGGGACAAACAAGCTGTATCTCCCTAAAAGGTGCTGCGACCCACCCACTTGCTTTGGCTTACAGCTGATGCATGTAAAATGATACCTATGTAGAGGGATTTTTTAAATCCTCTTCCCCTGGAGACAAGTTTTATGGAGAATGTTCTTCACGCACCATAATCTGCCAGAAAATGCCTAAGAAGGGTACCTGTGAAAAGGTATGTGGACTAAGCCAGGAGAACACAAAAGACTTGTCCATTTATATAAATTTCCATTTACTCTCATACAGACATCTTGCATTTGCAAAAATGGATACTTGCTCCTATAAAGTAGATCTGAATTCCAGTTGTGCATCCCACAACTGCAATTTCCCAACAAGTTCCCATTCAAAACCAGATAGCAGACTTAACTGTTGCTCAAGAGAATGCGCAATCAGGCTTACTGGCCTGTATCTTATCACTCCACTCAAACAAATTTAAAGATTTCCTCTGGATGAAGGAGCCTGGGGGAGGGCTTCTCTTTTCATGGTAGGTCCAACATTATCATTCTCAGACCTGTTGTCTGTTTACAGTACATATACAAACATGTGACTTTAATAGTCATGACATACAGCAACAGCAATCATTTCCTAAAAACAGAAGGCCGAAATATCAGTGTTGTAAAGCTTACCTGCACAGGATCGCTGTAATTTTCAATGTCCCCACTTGGTGTTTTACATATTTGGTCATTGAAATCAAAGCTAGAGTATGGGACTGCAGGAAAATCTCGGATCCCTGCATTGAAATAGCTCCCACAGGTCCCACGGTAGCCAGAACCAGCCCCAGAACTGCACATATGGTTGATTACAGCATCAACGTAAATATGAACCTGATGAAGATACACACGGCAGAGTCAAATTAATGAAAAGAGAATGTGAGAGGCACATTGCCAAATAAAGCAAGACTAACAACCAACGCTCCCTCTAAGCTGTGGAGTCTTGTGAGCAAAAATTCTACTTTGTGAGCTACCGGCATTAAAGTTGTGAGCAGGTGATTTGGCTCCGGCATAAATTAGTTTGCTCTGGAGCCCTCCTTCCTGAGCTAGGACAAAAATGTATGAGCCGGAGGGTAAAAAACTGTGAGCTAGCTCACACTAACTCAGCTTCGAGGGAACACTGCTAACAATATGAATTGCTTTAAACAATCAGATGAACAGTTAACAAGGCAGTTGGTCTGTTGGACAACAATGGTGTGAAAGGATTGCCGAAGGAAGTCAGAGAGACGGCAGAGAAACTGAATGAAGTCTTTGCATCCGTTTTCACTGTGGGAAAAAGAGGGAAGCAATCTGTTCTATAGCTCATGTTTTCAGAAAGATGGAACTTGTCTTTCAACTAGAAAGCATGACGTTAAGTTCTAGGGCTAATGGACAAATAAAAACAACAAATCATCACGTGTGGATGACATACTCTGAGAGTTCTTAATGAATCTAACAAGATATACACTTTGTCATGAGAATTGACTACTTCCCAGACGACTGGGCAGTAACAAATGTAATGCTATTTAAGAAGAAAAGATCCAGAGAAGATACTGAACATTATAGGACAGCTTCTGAATCATTTTCTGCAGAGCACTGAGCGAGCCAAATATCTCACTAGAGATAATTAAATAGAAAAGAGTATCTTCTAGTTAGTATGTAACAAGAGGTTGCTTTGGCCTAAAATCCACTGCCTCAACCTAGTCTATTGCCCGAAAAGGCACTAAAAACTACTTACTCCAACATTGTTGCATCTGGTCACCATGTTTCTAAATTCATTTTCATTTCCAGAACGTGAACATATCTTGTAGCTGATTGGCTGATATCTTTCCCACCATGGTCTCCAAGGCCTTGTAATTACAAGATTTTCATTTGGAGGAGAAATCTATCTATTCAAAAAAAAAAAAAAAAAGCAGTCATGTGACATAAATGACATTAACTTTCCTATCTTTTACTAATTGAATACAGGGCTCAGACAAACCTTAAATTAGTCCCTGTTTAAACAAAACAAGATGTATTTGGCAATGACTGAAATCATATGTAAAAAATATGGACTTATACTAAGATTTATTGTTTGTGGGAGGGAAGGCGGCATGGTATAGTCCAATCTTATCAGATCTTGGAAGCTAAGTAGGGTCGGTACTTGGATGGGTAGACCACCAAGGAAGACTCTGCAGAGGAAGGCAATGGCAAACCACCTCTTCTTCTCACTTGCCTTGAAAGCCCTTCACTGGGGTTGCCAGAAGTCACAACTTGATGGCATATGTGTATGTACATTATTATTATTTGTGATCCCTGGGTATATACAGGTAGCAGCCTGGGTCCATCCACTCTGTTCAGAAAAGCTTGAAGCCTCAGTCCAGCTGAAGGAACCTCCCTCCAACTTAAGTGGCTCTTCCATTGGAGGCAGAGCGATTTCAGTGGGAGGAAGGAATCAAACTTTGCTGAATGGAGTAGTTGGATTCAGGTCATTATCTGGTTATTGTAGTGGACACCCCCCCACACACACACCCAAACGCACAATGTTGATTTCTATGGCTTCGATCCAACAGAGCGTTTCCATGGGCAGGAGGAATTTTATCTGCTGACCATGAATTTCTCACTGCCTCCACTCCCCACTGCAACCCAAAATATCCCCTGAAATGCTGCTCCTGGTAGATAAGGGACTATAGTGGGAGGCAAAAGTCACATCATAGGATCCAAGCTATAGCCGCAAACAAGAAGGAGGAGGAGGAGGAGGAGATTGGATTTATACCCCACCCTTCACTACCCAAAGGTGTCTCAAAGCGGCTTACAAACTCCTTTCCCTCCCCCTCCCCACAACAGACACCCTGTGAGGTAGGTGGGGCTCAGAGAGCTCTGACAGAAACTGCTCTTTTTCAAGAACAACTGTGCCAGAATTATGGCTTGCCCAAGGTCATCCAGCCAGGTGCAAATGGAGGAGTGGGGAATCAAACCCGGTTCTCCCAGATTAGAGTCCGTGCACTTAACCACTACACCGAACCTGCAATAACTTACACATTTCTCTTTTTTAAAATAACCTCTTATCTTGGCTGGTGTATCATCATAAAGTGGCTAATATGTTGTTCAGCGTGCTGCTGTTCAGTTACAGATTTACTTCTACTGGTGTCACTTGAATCCCAACACCTTGGCTGTGTAGTCTTTCATTTCCCTTCATTTTACTTGAGATGTAATTGATCAAGAGAGATTGTAGTGAAAACCCAAAATTTTTAACACATACACACAGAAGGATGTGAGTTGAAACATTACACAACAATTGAGTCCCTTTCTAAAGAAGAATACTCAGTGACACAAGTTAAGTAGAATAGTATTGTATATTTTTGTAACCCTGGGGGGCTAGTCATAGTTGACCATAACTATGGCCAGGTGAACTACTTTTGTGATTGCTATTTGCAGGAATGCTTGATAGCTTTAGAAAATAGCTTTAAAAGCCAGCATCAAACATACCCAAGCATAGGCTCTGATCTGGCCTTTGTTACATCAGGAACCTATTACCAGCCAAGACCTGATAGCCCAGGCAAGCCCAATCTTGTCAGATCTTGGAAGCTATGCAGGATTGACTGTGGTTAGTACTTGGATGGGAGACTTCCTTGGAATACCAAGTCAGGAGGACAGAGGCAGGTTTTATTCAGCCACCTCTCTAAATATCCTCCAGGCCCCTAGTAGGGGTCACTCACCAGAGGTCAACGTGATTTCCAGGTGCAAGAACACACACAAATGCCTCTCCCCCCACCCAAAGAATCCTATTGCCAAAATGTAACCAGCTTGACTAGAGCAGAGGTGGGAGCAGTAAATTAGCATGAATAATGAGATAAGAATCCTGTCCTTGTTCAGCCCAAGGTGGGGGGTACATTGTTCAGAATTTGTGAATGAATTCAAATTCAGTAATCTTGTGCTCTAATCTCCCTTTGAAGTTTCTCTGTTTCAGGATTTCCACCCTTTTGTCAGCAATGGCATATCCGGGAAGATTAAAATGTTCTCCAACTGATTTCTGAGTGTGGTGTTTATAATGACACTTATTGTTTTGCATAGGGACTGACCTGTTTATCTGATGTCAACAATCAAGCTGATTACATTTTGCATAGTACCTTTGCATTCTGACTCCCATCTTTGCAACACCCCTCCCATCTTCTGACTGGGATATAAGGGCTCAGGAATCTCCATTCCAACTTGTATCCAGCGTGTTATGTGTTATATTTTAAAGGTTTGTTATTTTAAGTAATTTATTCTAATGATAGGGTTTTAACTGTATTCAATTGTATTTATGATTGTTGTAAGCCGCCCTAAGCCCGCCTTGGTGACAGGCCCTTAACTAACGTGGGGCCCGGACTCCCCATTGTTTTTGTGGGGGCATCCCCCAATCTTCAGCTCCCCCTCCTTCCCCTTCACCCCCTGATCAATCTGAGCTGGCATCTCCCTGTTTGAGCTCATCTGAGATTAGTATCTTTAGGACTCAGCAGCATCCAGTGACTGACTGAGTCACACACACATTGGTCGGATTGCCGCAGTTAGCTCCTCCTGTTGGATTTTCTGCTCCAGGCTTCAGAAAAGATCATCGGCTCAGGGAAGGAGTGAGGGAGGAAACTTGATTCCCGCTCTCCTTTTTTTTTTTAAACACGGCAGCTTTCCTAGACCTTTTGGTGTCTATTAACATTGGGATTCTGGCTCGCCTCAGAGGATGGCTCTAGTGGGGGCTGTGTGGGTGCACGCCAAGCAGACCCCCCTTGCCCTGGAGCCTTTAATGTAATTAGCTGGTGGGCCTCCCCAAGCCCCCCCCCCCAAAAAATCCCTAGCTACGGGGCTGCTTGGCGGGGTATAAATTAAATTAAATAAATAATAAAATAAATATTTGATGAAGGAAGCTTTGACTCTAGAAAGCCTGTATACCAGAAATCTTGTTGGTCTTTAAGACGCTACTGGACTCAAATCTTGCTCTTCTACTTCAGACCAACACAACTACCCACCTGAAGCTACTAACAGTCATATATGCAAATCACTGAATTGATCTTCTTCAGGACATAGTTCTGGACTGTTTTAGCGCAGTGTGTACACAGTCCTGCTTGTAAATGTCATTGTGTTTGAAGGCTGGCAGAAGTTACCATCTATGGCTTCTATTTCTATTAATATTTAATCTAGTTACTAAAATAACCTGAACTCTAGTAAAAGAAATGGGGAGGAGTATTTATTCATTGGTGGTCGTGGAGAACAAGGCTGGTATGCATACAGTCTTGATTTATCTGAACTTCCTTCATTTAAGTGTCGGGGCAGTGCACAAAAAGTCTACCTGTGCTTATCCGTGTCTCATGCAGCACCTTGTAAGCAAAGCAGGGAGAAAGGCTTGAGTGTACCAAGTAGTCAGTTTGCTATAGTTGTTACAATGAGTGACTAGGATTGGGATAGGGTTGCCAGCTCCGGGTTGGAAAATACCTAGAGGATCTGCCGGCTACGGCTGATACAGAAAATGAGCTGGAGGCCCCTTGGCCATCTTCCAGTCCAACTTTGGACCAGTTCAGCTGACTCTCTCAGGAGGAGGTCAACAGAATCCTAGCAGCTGTGAAGCCCACCACCTGCCTCCTTGACCCAAGCCCATCCTGGTTGGTTAAGGCCAGCAGTGACGGAATTCGGGTTCCCCTGGGAGAGATTATCGACCGGTCCTTGTCTTCGAGGACCACTCTTGAGAAAGCAATCTCTGGACCCTATGGTCCCAGCCAACTACCACCCAGTGTCAAACATTTCCGTTCCTGGGCAAGGTAGTTGAAAGAGTGGTAGCGGAACAGCTCCAGATCAATTACAATCTGATGGCCCATCGCCTCGCTGATGTGGGGTTACGGGGAACATTCTTGCAATGGCTGGTCTCCTTTCTCCATGGTCGAGGACAGAGAGTGGTGCTTGGAGAGAGGGTATCTCCTCGTTACCCTTTGGTATGCGGCATCCCTCAGGGAGTGATTCTCTTCCTGATGCTGTTTAACATCTATATGCACCCTCTTGCCCGGTTAATCTGGGGGGTTGGGCTGGGTTGTCACCAGTGTGCTGATGACACTCCGCTCTATCTGTTGATGGACGGACGGACTCTGCCCCAGATATTTTGGCCAAGGCTCTGGAGACTGTGGCTGGTTGGTTACAGCAGAGCCAGCTGGAACTAAATCAATCGAAGACAGATGTCCTGTATCTGAGTCGGACTGGGTGGGATCCGGAATCCAGCTCCCAACCAATGCTCCCTCTAAGCTGTGGAGTCTCGTGAGAAAAAAATGCTACTTTGTGAGGTACTGGTATTAAAGTTATGAGCAAACAATTTGGCTCCTGCATAAATTAGTTTGCTCTGGAGCCATCCTTCCTGAGCTAAGTCAAAAATATGTGAGCCAGAGGCTAAAAAACTGTGAGCTAGCTCACACTAACTCAGCTTAGAGGGAACACTGCTCCCAACCCTTGGCGAGGCAGCTTTAGTGCCAGCACCAATGGTGAGGAGCCTAGGAGTGATCCTGGATGCCTCACTTTCAGTGAAAGCCCAGATCACCAACACTGCCAGGTTGGCCTGTTACCATCTTTGGCTGGTCAGGCAGCTGGTTCACTATCTCTCCTGCTGTGACTTGGCAACAGTGATCCATGCAATGGTCACCTCCAGACTGGATGACTGCAATTCGCTCTACGCAGGGCTACCCTTGAACCTGACCCAGAAACTTCAGCTGGTGCAAAATGCAGTGGCACACCTCCTGTCTGGCATGTCTTTGTGGGTGCCCAAACAGCCAGAGCTTCATGTGCTGCATTGGCTGACAGTTGAGGTCAGGATTAGGTGCAAGGTTATGGTTTTAACCTTTAAGGACCTATGCGGTCAGGGACCAACATATCTGCAGGACCCTCTCTCCCAATATGTCCCCGGAAGAGCTTAACGCTCAACAGAACATCACTTACTGGTAATCCCTGGCCCTAGAGATCTCCTCTTAGCTTCGGCCAGAGCTTTTTCAGCTCTGGCTTCGGCCTGGTGGAACAAGGTCCCAATTGAGATCGGGGCCCTGTGGGACTTGCTACAATTCCACAGGGCCTGTAAAACGTAGCTGTTCTACCAGGCTTTTGGTTGAGGCAGCAGAGGCCTCATTATGTCTGGCCTCCCCTGCTCTAACTAGCCCCCAGCTCAACCAGCCTAGAATGACAGTTATATCAACGTATCACAGATTTTGATGGCCCTCTCCTGAGTCATACACAGTATACCCCCATCTCACCATCATATAATTGGTTTTTAGGTTTTAACTGAAATTTATATGGAATGTTAAATATGTTTTTATTGGTAACGTAACTCACCCTGAGCCCGCCTTTGTGGTACAGTGGGATAAAAATCCCACAAATAAATAAATAAATGTTGGGGGTGGAGCCTGAGGAGGGAGGGGCATCAATGGGGCATAATGCCACAGAGTCCACCTTCCAAAGCAGCCTTTTTCTCCAGGTGAACTGATCTCTGTTGCCTGGAAATCAACTGTAATTCCAGACAATCTCCAGCCGCCACCTGGAGGTTGGCAATCCCAGACTGGGAAGATTTGGGTGCAAATCCCCACTCTGCTACGATACTCTGCAATGACTGGCTGACAATGGAACAATCTTTCTCTTGCAAGTATAAAAAGGGGACTTGGAAAACCATCTGCCCTGCCTTCCTAGGCCAGATAAAAATGGGATATAGACTAGCTCAGACCCTAATACTACCATCTCTGAAGGGGACAGTGTACTAACCTGAATTCCTGCAAATCCATTTGGTGCTAAATAACGGTCACATTCAAGAGCAACATCAGTCCAGCGCCATTCAAAGAGGTGGACAATAGATGTCCTCCTGGTTTGGGGGCCTGACTTGCATCGAATCCAGCAAAGTCCCAAGACTGCTAGGAGGAGAAACAGCAGGCATCTCAGGTTGTCTTTGGCATGAGGAGACATCCTTCTCAGTAGCCTTTTGCATTCCTGTTGGACAGCAAAGCACATTTTACTGATGAAACACAAGCACCAATACAAGGCAGGGGAGCTGCATCACAATAATGTAAATGCTTAGAGAGAAGGCACCGCTTTTTTAAACCACAGACATGATAAAAACATTAACTGGAGTGATGGGTAGTCTGGAAATGGAGGATACCTATTCCAGGTGAGAGCTCCTCACCTCAGTGTCTGAGAACAGGATTATGGGCCTACAAATTATGAGCTGGAAAAGCAGCACTCCCTTCTGCACTGGCACTAAGGCCTGAGAATACACAGCCCATAGTGGTTCACTCGGCCTGGCCTCCATTTCAAACTATGGTGCTCTCTGGCAGACATCCACATGGTGATGGGCCTCAGGATATGGGATTTTTTTGAAAATGAAGGACTTTGCACTGTCTCTTGACTTTAGAGGGGGACTATAGCAAGAGAGAGATAGGTAGGTCAGGACCCTTCCTTTCTACTATTCCAGTGCTATCCCTTTGATATGCAGATTGCTACTCTCAGGGAACCTTCCTTCTGTCTGACACTTTCTCTCCCCACCATTCTTCTTCATCTTGGCGCTGTGAGGACAGGACATGCATCTCCATCCACCCTAGTCAGTTAGACTAGATTAGAATCCTTTCTTTGTTTTATCCAATATACAATAAAGGACACATACTAGTTCTGCAAAGATAAAAAAGGCTCCGTGTCTAACTTTGTTTCATAGCAGTGCACACATTGGGCAGATTCTGCTGTGACATGTGCCTTGAGCACTCTGCTAACCCAACATTCTTTCAGGTTTTTGGCCATGAATCTAGCTGAAAAAACAGTGTGTTGGCCTTCCTTTGGATTTCCAATGGACGGCACAGACACTGGCTTCAGCATAGGATACTGTGGAACAAAAATTGGGACACAGTGATGCTGGTAGTTTGTGGGTTAGGAAAGAGAGCTAGGTAGTGTTAATCTGCCCTGTAATCTCAAAACTGGCCTGAATTAAAACCTTCATCTTTTAAACAAAACAGATCTTCAGTAGATGGACTTTTCCCTGGGTCAGCATTTGCTGGTGTTTTTTTTTAATGGGTCAGCCGAGCATACGATTTGGAGGTAAGGCAACATGGTATAGCCCCATCTCATCAGATCTTGGAAGCTAAGCGGGGCTGGTATTTGGATGGGCAACCACCACGGAAAGCTCTGCAGAGGAAGGCACTGGCCGCCCACCACTGCTTCTCACTTGCTCCGAAAGTCCCTTGCTGGGGTCACCATAAGTCAGCTGCGACTTACACACACGCAGAATACAACTGTTGATTTTAACACTGTCCGAAAGATAACAGCTTTGGAGCAAGCTGCAAGGTCATTTCTGGTGCCCATGAATTGGTAAACAACTGGAATAGATAGGCCTGATTCCCACAGCCATTTTTTTTGGAAGTGAGCTCCAAGTGCACTCTATTGGATTTTCATACAAAAAGGAGTTTCCGCAAACAAATGTCAAAAGTACTGTGACAGTCACAAATTATGGGATTTTAAAGTGGCTTTCCCAACAAAAAAATAAGTAATACCTTGACTGAAATGACTTGTACAGAACCCTCAAAACACGACGTTCAACAGAAATAATGAAGAGGTATGGTTTGCTTGCCTCCTGTTTCCATTTGAGATGTTTCTACAGCTATTCTCTTGATGTGATAGCAGTGATAAACGGCTGAAAACCAAGATGCCCGATGTTTGTGCTCCTCTCTGTGTTAAACAGAGATTGAGATTCCCACAGAAGGAAACTCGCAAGCTGTTAAAAAGGCCTAATGCTGCTAAGATTTTGTTACTAGCCTACGGCCATACCACCCTGAACACGCCCGATCTCGTCTGATCTCGGAAGCTAAGCAGATTTTGTTACTGGAGGTGAAATCTGCCATGAATACAGCAAAGAAGCACGTTCTAGCAGTTGTCCCAAGAGGATGGACTACACAGAGACATTCTAAGCAATCCTAATGCTTGGCTGATGGGACTGAAACTGCATCTCAGTAGACAAGAATTACAGTTGGTACTGGAGCTGTCACTGCCATTCCTCAGCAGGCCAGGACAGGGGACCCCTGCTCTGGGGAGCAGAGCATCCTGTTGGGCCAGTCAATACTTACAGCAGAGATTAACTGGTGATTGCAGAGGTTGCAAAGATGCTTTGACATTCTGGCATGTACAGTCTTGGACTGATTGTGCACTGGCTTTTCCCTCCCTTGTTTTAGCAAACCCATGTTGGAACAGAAATTCCCCTCTGTATTGCATGCTGCTTTCACTTCCATTGATCATTGGATTTTATGGTAGCCTCCACACTCCATGCCATTTTTGCTTCCTTTGATTGTTGGATTTTATGGTACCTTCTGCATAGGTTTCCCGCCAACCCAGCGGGCCGAAAGCAGTTAAAACACCTATGCGAGTAGGCGAATGGGTACCTACCCTTAGAAGGGTAGGGGGCACCCGCCTCAGATGAGGAGCGTGGAGCGTGGAAGATGGTGAGAAACAGTGGAGTCATCAGCGGCAAAAATGGCGGCGACGAAAGCATCTGGCGGCGAAGGAAAGGCGGTGATGCGGCGGCTGCAGCATGAGCGGAGCGATCCCTGGCAGCGAATGGACATCATGCAGAGCGGCGGAGGCGAGAGACTGAGGGGCGCCCGATGACACGCGGCGCCTGGCAAGGCGGAGCCTGATTGGATTGAGCCGAACCAGGAAGCAGAGCGTGGAAGCCGGGCGCCTGCGCAGTCCCGCCGGTCGGCAGTCGCTGGAGGTGTGCCAGAAGAGATCGCCGGAACAAGCCGTGCCGGAGAAACAACAAGACGCTCCAACTAGGGTGCTGGTAGGTTTCCCCATCCTATCACTTGTGGCCCAAGTTAGGGAAGAAAGGTTCCTAGAACCACAACAAATGTAAACCGCCCAGAGACCCCCTAGGGGTTAGGGCGGTATAGCAAATGTAAAGTTAAATAAATAAATAAATAGATAGATAGATTTATGGCCATTCAGGGGTGACCTTGCAGTTAGTACGGTGTTGGCCCGGGGTATCTGAATATGGTTCCGAGCTGCACTTTTTCCTTGCTGTCTATCTTATGCCTACATTAAAGTGACAGACACCCCTGACTGGTCCAGGTAATCTTTTGTCTTCACCTGGGGCAAGCCCCTCAAGACCTCCCATTGGTCAGCATTGTTCTCTATTGTCTATATCCATCCATGCACATGGCCTCAGAGTGTGCCTCTGCCCTGATGCCAACTAGCAGTCCACCCCCAAACTTTTGTTTGGGTCACAATCCCGTCTCCATGGACTAGGGCTGCCAAATGCTCCCGGGGGGGCGGATTTCCCCCCGCTTTCAAGCCCCGATTCCCACTCCCGTGGAATCGGGGCCTGGGGAAAACCCCACCCCCACGTGCGCGTCACTCTTTGTTTTCCCCTCAAATGGCGTGGCCCTGCCCCCAGCGTGCGACGTCACTTCCGGGTGACGCGTACGCAACAGACGCCGGCCGGGAGCCCCCCTCTCCCGGCCGATTCACATTTGGCAACCCTACCATGGACCTCTGCACATCTGAACAGGTTGTATTACCCTGTAACTGACCCATTTGCTATCAGTCACCTCTACTTTCTTAGTTCTGTATTGCTTGCTCTTTTTGAATGCTTAGTGTGCTTGTAATTAGGTAAATTCTTTAATAAAATCCATTTAATTTACTCTTCAAATCTGGAGTCTTCCTACTGTACCAGACCTAGGTGTACAATTGGTGTGCGATCCCTGTACTCTTCTGGTTTCCCCTGCCACATAGCTAATTCCCAAACAACGAGGCAGGCCATTGGCGGTAACAGACTGGACTATTGTAACTTGCTCTACATGGGCCTACCTATGTACCTGATCTGGAAGTTACACCTAGTGCAGAATACAGCAGCACGCATGCTGACTGTGATGTCTCTGCGGGCGCACATTCAGCAAGTGCTACATCAACTCTCTTGGCTGCCGACAGAATTTTGGATCCGCATCAAGGTGTTGATTTTAAGCTTTAAGGCCCTTATTGGCCAGGGATCAGCATACCTGAGGGACCACCACTTCCCATATGTGCCTCGATGGGCCTTGCACTCATTAGACCAGCACATACTGGAAGTCCCTGGCCCAAAAGACATCCATCTAGCCTCAACAAGGACCAGGATGTTTTTGGTCCTGACTCCAACCTGGTGGAATAAGCTCCCAATAGAGATCAGGGCCCTGCGGGATCTTTTACAGTTCTACAGAGCCCGTAAAACAGAGCTGTTCCACCAGGCTTTTGGGCGAGGCAGAGGACATCAAATACCATCTGGCCCCTCCTCCTGTAATTTGTTGTAAATTGTTGAGTCACTGGACTAAATTATAGGCTCTGGCCTCTCTTCGCCCTCTTGTTATACCATGCCGGGACTCTGGGAAATGGTTTTTCGGAATGTCATCTTGTTTTAAGAGGTTGGTGATTTTATAGAATTACAGTTGGTTTTTATTGTTGTGAGTTTTATATGTTGTAACCTGCTTCGAGCCCTCATGCAGGAAGGGCCGGGTAGAAATAAAATAAATAAATAATTAATTAAGCCTTAAACTCCAGAATCTGTGTTTCCGGTTCTACTGAAGTTCCGAACAAGTCAATCCAAACAATACATGTGTTATCTACATTGGACATTAATTTGTAAACGTTTATAACACATACAATGCAGAGTGTCAACTTGAATGGTAAAATAAACTAGCATCGGATTAACAATGAACAGTGTTTCCAAATGCCCAATGAGGGCAGGGGAGCTCCCACCCCCACCCTCCATTGCCTACCCTTGCTCCAGTGAGTGGTATGGAAAAAAGGCGGGAAAGGCAAAACCAGAAACGATATCACTACAGTTTGGTGTAGTGGTTAAGTGCACGGACTCTAATCTGGGAGAACCGGGTTTGATTCCCCACTCCTCCACTTGCACCTGGCTGGATGACCTTGTGCAAGCCATAGTTCTGATAAGAGCTGTCCTTGAAAAAGAGCAGTTT